AGGCAATCACGCGGCGAACGAGCCAAGGGTGTGGAATTACAAAGAGCGCGAAATATCCCTGCACAAGCCAAAGAGGAAAACCAACCCGTGGCCAACCAAATTGTCAACGAAACGAAGAGATCGAAAGCGTCGAGCCCCGGTTAGAGATTCAAAACGCGTTTACAACACCAAGTCCATGGGTGTGCTATTAAGGCAGCAATATATGCTGTTACCTGGTGTCAGGGAGGCGTTGTGCAGCCCGAAACATGGTGCCATTCAACAAGCCGAAGTTCGTAATCCTGCTCTTGAGGGGTCTGCCAAACGATATCGATTTCTCGTTGGCGAACAAGGTGGCCGCCGGTGTTGTCGTCAAGGATTTATGGAAAGCTAGATTCTGCGGTTGTGTACGCGACTGCTATCACGACACATGCAGGAATGCGACGGCAAACCTATTTTGTGCGGGTGACAGCTTTCGTCTAGGCGGTAAGTGCTCGAACAGACGTCGAGTGGTGAGATCTACATTACTGAGTATACAGGGCTCGGCCTTCTGGAAAAGTCAACGATTAATGTTAGGGCTTTGATTGCACCATACACCGGCCTTCTTTCCGACCATGACTACGTCAATGACCCGACTCAGTATGAGTACGTGGCTCAGACGCACACAGTATCAAAGTAAGACAAGACGCTGTATATTGATGCTGAGAGGCATGGCAGCCTTGCTCGGTTCATCAATCACTCGTGCGATGCAAATTGCACTTTTGTGGAGATGCGTCACAATCGCGATATTCAAGTGGCGGTCATCACAAATCGCAAGATCGGCTGCGGTGAAGCGATAACAGTTGACTTTGGCCCGAATCTATGGTTTGTGTGTGCTTGCAAGACAGACAACTGCCGAGCAAAGGGCATCGCTGCTGTAAAGCTTTGCGCGTGCGTAAGCACAAATCCGTAGTTCCATCGGATGAAGTTGAAATTTAAAAAAATGTCTTATCCATATTTGTTTTTTTTGTACTGAATACGAGCTGCTTTATTTTTTACTACTACCCAGTGGTGCTACCTCCTTCGCAAGTTACAAAGCACAACTATTTCGACTAACGTATTGGTCAAAGACAGCGCAATGCGGCTTAATAGTAAAACCCGTGGTTTTAGTGCAAGCAAAGTGACATTTGGAACTGGATGATGCGCTTTGCTTTGACTAGGATTTTCTTTTGAACGAATTATGTGGTTTGCGGAAAACCAAGCATATTGCTTGGTTTTAACTACCATAATAGCAATAATTTTCTGTAAACCCAAGCAATATGATATAATATGCTGCGGATTGCGGATTAAAACCCAGCATATACACATGTTTTAAAAATTACTGTGGGATATTTGCAACACAAAATCGAAGTAAATTTCCGGCAGCATTAGGGTTAAAGTAAACGTACGTTAATTCAATTGTGCCTCCAGCTTCCAGTTCAGGATTTTGTCGCTAAGGCCATCAGAGAGGCACACGCTAATGAGCGAGGATAGCAACAATTTTCCATAAATCGGTGCCGCAGTTTAATATTGCAGATTCTATTGCAATTGAGTATTGGAATAGCTAACGGTAATGCAATCCCTCCTAATACACTTTCGGCAGATAAAACCACCCAAAACAAAATGATACTCACGAACCATTCAGAGCTATCAATATAATCGAGCATAAAGCTGGCCAATTGATTTTCGCACTTAACCGAAATCGAGTTGTTATTGCTAAATTCCATCGAAAAAACTGTAAAAGTACCCTTATTCAATTGCTTTTAACAAGGGCTTTTAAATAACACTTGAATCTTTAAAATTGAAAAAAAATTGAGCTCACAACACTCCTAAATGTATCGTCATTTCGAGGGCCCATAAATGGAGATAAAATTAATGAGCGACCACAACTTCTTCAGTTTTAAGCATTCTGTAACTTATAAGGGCTCAAGAGATAGAGGAGACGCCCCGCTTTCGTTTAGAGTGCTTAAATCGCGATTCTTACTTAGGTTCGTAAGTATCATTTTGTTTTGGGTGGTCTCGATAATAATACTGTATTGTCAGTAAGACAAAACTGCAAAGAAAACGACGCCTGTCCTTTCCATGCGCACCCAAGTTTTAATATAAGTTGAGTCTCGGACGAACCACTTTGGTCGAAAAATCATATTTTAGTTTTTTTTAAACCTAATTCGACCGCTTTGCTTGTGAAAAAGCTCAAGTAGGCTGGTAATAGGTTTATTGCAATATATTAATATAATGATATTTATTGCTAGCTACTGTTCACGCAAGCACTCCGGCTTTGTATCCTCCCCAGGAGAAAAAAACTGCAGTTCTAGCGCCGTATCCTCATGCACCGCCACCCCACCACCGTGCACCAGCTCCGATCGCTTATGCTTACCCTACGCAGCACTTCCAGGGCCTCCGAATATGGAGTGTGTATCAGTGGCTCACTAAATAATGGTATAAAAACATCAGCCGAAATAAATTATGCCATTACGGATTTTTATTTATGAGGATTCTAGTGCTCCTTGTCAAATTCAAGCCTTGCTGCTCGATACCTCTCATCTTCCTTTCCCATGTCAGGTGATCTAATTTGCCACACGGAGAGCTCAAATCCAAACACAATTGAGTTGATATTAATGTTTCTGATGAAATTACAGAAACCTAGCTTGTTGTCGCTTATTGTTAGCTAGTAAAACAAATAATTTTGAAGTGGCTCACAACCAAGACCTCCAGCAAGGCAAAGTCACAGCCTTGTCGAGGTGATTCCTGAACTAAAAAATAATGTTTGTAGTGTCTTTTCATACATTATGCAGCTCTCCAATCTTAAAATAAATAATTTTGTCAGCCGAAATAAATAACTGATTGTTATTTTCGGAAATTATGTTATTGCCAATGCTAATTTTGGAGACCCCGAGCACTTGTTGATTACAAAACCTGGAATGGTTGCAAACACCAGCGCAAAGATGTACCGTACCGTGAGTCGCATACTTTTTTTTTCTCAACTGATGACAGTAGAGAGAGTTTACCGGCAAGCAAGAGGCGGGTTCGTGGACGAGTCGATTTCGGAATGAAATCCGGCAGCTTCTGACGATGTCAAGCTTTCAAGTATTAATACTAGTATAAATAATGCTGGTACATTGAGATTGCGTACTTTCTGTCAAACATATGCTGTTCTGAGAGAAAGATTACTGTAATACTCAGTATTACAGTAATCTTTCTCTCGGACTGTACGGGTAACAATCACTGTAGTCATTAACCGTAGAACCGTAAATAATCCAACAGCACTGCAGTACTCCACGAGCAATGTTTAGAGTCTCCACTGGAGACCCATTTGCAGGCTGTATTAACGGCATCTGTGATGACATTGCTAAAATAAAACATTCGCTTGGATTCCGAGTTTGAGCTGTTGGTTATCACTAATCTGTGGGAGCAATGCCTCTTCGGGAAAAGTACAAATACAGACCAGTACTTAGTACATGTAATGGGCAGAAATGCAAGTCGTGGGAGCCATTCCGCATACCGTAGCTATAAGTTAAAAATTGTGAAACTTATTATAACATATTAATAGCCTTGAATTAGATCCAAGGACGGTCCATTTGCACATCCTGACAGGGAAATGGTGAACATGTTCTACAGCGGTTTTCTCTGCAAGATACAGTACAAATGCTGGTACAGAATATGTATAGTATGCGGTGGCTATACATATTTTGCCTCGTGAAGGTAGCTATAAAGCCTAATAGCCTTTGACACTTAACCTTAACATTTTGCAGTTTTACCATTAGGTTAAACCTCTATTAAGACAATACCTTGAAAATTATATTCATATCAGGACTTCCCTATTGAGACAAAATACTGTCCCTTGTTTCACAAGCTTAATATCGTTTGTCAAAGTCCAATCGATAGTTTGTTGCGACTGCACCTTCGCGCCAAAAGTCAACATATGTCTATTTTCGTTTTCTGTAGCCACTCCAAGCAGGGGTTCCGAAAATGTTATTTTTATTAAATATATATTTTATTTTGCAGTAAAATAATTTATTTTCGAGCTCCCATTTCAAAATCAAATAATTTATTCTGCGCTCTCTCCAGGCAATAACCTTTAACCGGGCTCGATGGAGCCCTACGGACCAGCGGTCCAGCAAAACCGCAATCTTCAATCGATCTGCCGCGCTCTTGCCCTCTCAATTTGATGGTTGGTCGCTGAACCGAGCCTAGTGGAACGCTGCCACACTCCGGAAGGTTGTGCGTGGTGAGGCTCCCACCAACTAGACGAGTATCAGCCCACTGTGTATTGCATGCAATAACACCAATAATTTTTGCACCCGTGGTGCTCCAAGCACTTAAAATTATTTTTATTGCTGTTTTGCCAGTCTCAATAAAAATAACATTTTCGGATCCTCTGACTCCAAGGGTTAAGACTAAAGTTCATTCCCATCGCAAAGGCGATCTTCGTATGTATGCACGTCATATTGATCGAGCGTAAGATTACTTGTTCACTGCCCTCGAATCCTTCATTTTCGATTTTACAAGCTGCTGCACAAGTCTGTATGATTTCTCTTCACCCAATGTCAGCTCGCCGTTCGCAGTTTGTCATGCTACTGGCAACTGTTGCTATCATGGCATCAACATCGTGGGTCTGGGATCATCAACAAATAATCAGCCGTGGGATTCCTCAGCGATTTCTGGCTGAGCAAGGTGACGGCAACGCTACTTGTGAAGAAATGCTCGAGAAGGACGGTCTGAAAAGTGGCTTGAACGCGCTGCCTGACTTTGGAGGACTTCAAGTCTGCGTTAATGCTAACTTTATCGAAATTGTCAACGCAATTACGAGTTCGTCAACATGCAATCTTGACACGTTCTTACCGTTGTTGGTTGGGGAATCGAAATACTTTCCTGCCTTTATGGAGGTCATTAAAACGATTTTCGGCGGCATAATGAGCTCCAACAGTTCGGGATCGGCGAACCTAAAAACTACACTGGCTTTATGGAGTGCCAATAGTACCAAGCTGACTGGATTCTGCAACATCATGAACACTCAGGCGGCCCCGTGTATCGAAGAAGTGCTGGCTGCATTCATCCCGATCTTAGAAAGAGATGCGATGTGCTGCCACGGTCTCTACGGGTATGTGGAACTGCTAAAGCTACTCGTACCAGCCGGTCTAACACTGGAACAAGTTCTTTTCGACGTTGTTAATGGGCTCCACCAAACCATGTGCACCACGTCGAACTCGGACAGACAAGTCTGCGCGGTTTCGCTCACCTCCTATCTCTCCGATGTCATCAGCGCTGACGAATCATCACTGCTTAGTGCCATTATCTTCCGGGCTGGGGTACCACTATACGCTGCTGCTGAGAAAGATGTCTGCTCTTCGCTAGCGTCAACCTCTCTAGCCAGTGGTTTGGTGAGCGGCGCGAGTATTCCGTACTACGCCGCATCATGCTGCGTCTCTGGGCTATCAAAGCTCCTACAGAGCCTCGATACTGTAATGACGCATCTATCTGGAAGCTTGGTCGCCGAATTGTTCACTCTCATCACGGGCCGACAGGATGCTGTGACGAAGTTCACATCACTGTATCCAGTAATCGAAAGCTGTGCCTTTGAAGCATCGTGCACCAACCCAAACTTTACTTTATCGTCCAACACCAGTTGCAACGCGATTAGTGACGCCGTTTCAAACAAGACTCGTTCCCCAAGTAACATTGCATGCAAGCTGGTGACGTTGTGTGACAGTAACAACGTGTGTAGTGATGTGTGTGAAGCTGGAACTGCGAGTGTGAACTCGTGGGCGGCCGATGCTATCACTTTCCAGCACAGGCTATCCTATGGAGAGACCTTGTGTTTCACACAGTTGCCGGCCACTCACAACAGTGTAATCACCCAGGCTCGTGGCTATGGCAATCGTGACCAGCTCTTCAACTCGATGCTGAACGCTTCAAACGCCGGCTCGTACATGCGCACTAGTAACCAGTTTCTGAGTTTAACAGATCAGCTAAATCTGGGTGCTAGATTTCTAGAGCTGGACGTACACTACTTTGGCTCGGCTCTGCGCGATGCTCACTGCTCCAACCTCGGGGTGTCGTTGATTGACACATTGTCGGCGGATATGGTGATCTCTTTGAAATCCTCGCTGGAGGCGAGCGGCGAGGATAGCTCGGTTGAGTGGACTTCCGATTTAGCGGGCTGTCTGCCTTCGTTTAGTGGAATCCGTGCCGAAGAGCAGCGTCTTCACAATGAGTCGCTAGCAGAGATATCTGCTTGGTTGGCACGACATCCAGATGACTTCATTGTGCTCTTTGCTGATATTGGGGACGACGTTGCATCGACTGGTCAGACAGATGCGCTGCTGGAACTCTACACAAGCGTGTTCGGCGACCGGTTATTCACTCCGTCAGACTTCGATACGGCTGGAAGTGACTGGAATAGGTTCACGTTGGAAGACTTGATCCGCCAGGGTAAGCAAGTCGTTTTGGTATCGGGATCTGAGGCAAACAGCCTTATGTTTTACTCGCGTGAAAGGTGTACTGGTTGGGCTGATATCCCTAAGAATGCAGCGGGACCGGCGGGTACGTTCTTCGGGGAGATCATGAATGCTGGTAAAATTGTGCGCGCTTTCGAGAGTGAATTGCACTACGCTACGTTCACAGAGCTCACTCGGTGGTGGAAGTAATGGCGTCGATACACCTGAGCACCCGGCCAACGTTAACGCTTCCACTCTGCGTGTTTTTGTGGACGCTGGAGTGAATTTTGTGGCGCCGGATGGACTCGATGGATCGACGATGGCAGCCACGATTTGGTCGTGGGCCAAAAATGAGCCCGACGTCAGCATCTCCACCGCTCTGGTGATCTCGGGTGTGGACGGGCGCTGGCACGGTATTTCAAATCCATCAAGTATCTCTCACTTAGCGTGTGTGAGCAACAGTAGCCGCATGAAGTGGAAGGTTGTAGCCAAGGGCTCGAGCTGCCCCAACGGATTTGAGACTGGTGCACCTCAGCTGGCAGTGGAAAATCTGGCACTGCTAAGTGAAATTCGTGCGGAGGCGGGTGCTGCGACGGCCCAACTCGCTGTGGACCTCGGTAGCCTCTTGTTTGGCAAGTGATAACGTCTCTCCGGGTCGTGTGGTAATTCTTGTCATACCACATCGAAAGGAGGATCGAAGCCTTAAGCTACATAAGAGGCATTGGTATGGTCGGCCGTACTGATGAAAAATGGTCTTCGCAGTATTGATGATACAATGCCATTGTTTGTAGCCCTCACCCCTTTCGCGTCCGTTTGATATTATTGTAATGGATCGAGCAGTCGAGTGGACCACATGGCTGCGAAGTCAGGTGATGAGTAGCAGTACACGTGGAATGCGAACGACGGGTTTTGCATAGATGATGAGAGGGAGGTGGACGATGTGTGAGCGTGCCGGCTGGCGGCCATGGTCGTGAAGCCAGCCGGGAACAATGGGTGCCTCGCACACCGTGAGTGCAGTAGTCAAAGAGGTGATTGGCAGCACGAGTGGGATACGACGCCAGTAGGAAGGACGAAAGAGGCCGACATGAGTGTGCTGGCTAGTGGCCAGGCTCATGGGAGCCGAAACGAAGGACGGAAGAGGCCGACGTGAGTGTGCTGGCTAGGTGGCCAGGCTCATGGGAGCCGAAACGAAGGACGAAAGAGGCCGACGTGAGTGTGCTGGCTAGGTGGCCAGGCTCATGAAAGTCGAAATGGATGATGAGGAATAGTGGGGTGGGCTATGTTGAAGTACCGCGCAGCAGCCGCACTGCAATGAACAAAGGAGGGGAGCAGTGTGGGGCGAAGCTCACTTTTGGATCTGCGGCATTAGCACAGGACCTGACACGTGTGTGGCGGAAGACGCACTTTGGAGACGGAAGAGGGAACGAGGACCGGCAGACGAAGGCCGTCCGAGTCACTAAAACGGAAGAGCGAGCGAGCAGGGAGGGGCGGAGGCCGACCAGCTAGCAAGCGAACTACAGCCAGCGGAGCACGTGCCGACCGCGCGGGCAGCGCCGACGAGAGGAGGGCGTAACAAGGGGCTGAGAGGCACCTGAGGCCTGTGTGAGGAGTCGGGTGGCGCTCGGTGCGGGGAACGCACGGGCGACGAAGTAGCGCAGCGGCGTGAAAGGCAGGTGCTTGGAAAAGTACACGAGGGTGAGTAGGAGCGAGTAGTGCAGCAAGGGTTGTGTTGCGTAAATATATATAGGAACGGACACTTCTCAGTGGACGTTCCGGCGCAGAACCGAGTGGGTTCTGTCGGCCAGTGGAGTGAGGAAGCTCCGTACGGGCGGCGACTAACCAGGTCGAACCCCCAGCGCAGTAATTGTGGAAGCAGTGCGACCTGCCCCACGGCCGGACAAGATAATTGGCCCGTTACATGGTGGTCATACAGGGGCTTAAAGCGAGCAATCGACAAGCATTACGAGACGAGATGGCGGCCACGAAGACAGCAACGACTAAGGGGGCCAGGGTAAAGACCAGGATCTTACCACGCTACGCGAAGAGCCAGATACTGGTTCATGAGGAGGAGAAGTCGCGAGAATCCTTCAGTGAGAACGTGGAGAGCGAGGGCGACCGTGCGGAGCAGCAGGAAGAGGTTACACGAGAGGAATCGGTGGCGGGACGCACGGTAACGCTGGTAGAGTCGACGGAGGAGAACAGCAGGACCCGACGGATTCGTGACGACGCTGAACTTGTCGCAGATGGTGACGAAGATACTCCGACGGGTGGCGGAGCGGCGAGCCAATCGGTGGTAGTTACGATGGCCGAGACCGTCAGCGAGCTGCGAGAGATGGTGCCTAGGTTGCAGCCGGCTCCGGTGGACGCTGGACACGAGGAGCGGCGGTCGGAACGTCAGAGGAGCCGGGATGCTCCAAGGCACCGGCGCAGCTCTGGTCGCTCGAGACGTTCTGGACAACGTTCAAGTAGGGGCGGCGACTCAGGAGACGCTAACGAGCAGCGACGGCGAGTGTCGGCGCGTCGGTCGGTGCGCGGAAGGTCATCCAGGTCACCCCACCGCGCCGATAGTGGGGGAGATTCGGACGACGGGTCAGGCGACGATCCTAGCAGTTCGAGCAGCGAGAGCGAGCCCAGTGACGACGGCAGTAGTGACGAGGCCGACTCCCAGAGCTATTCTGACTCGAGCGAGGGAACGGAGCGGTTAGGGCGACCACACCGGCGGTATCAAGATTATGAGCGTTATGGACGGCGAGGGCGACGCGAACGACGGGAGCGGTACGACGCACGAGAAGAGCCACGAAGGAAGAGCGTGAAGGACTTAGAGCTCCCCACGTACACACCGTCCCCGAAGGTGTCGGTGTCCACCTGGATCGACCGGGTGGATTTGGCGCTTAAGGGTGCGGAGGAGTCTGGACGCGGTCGATGGACGGATAGAGCACTCTATTTCATCCTCGGCATCAAACTGATGGAGACCGCGGCGCGTTGGTGGGTTAACATGGATCGTAGACTTCCTGACAGGAAGCGATTGTGGACGTACCTGAAGAAGGCATTGCTACGCCGTTATGGGGAACGGCTCGACAAATCGGCGGCGGAATGGCGCGTCAACGGTAGGCGCATGATGCCAGGTGAGACATATGCTGATTACGCGGCAGTACTTCGTGAGCTCGTGGGTAAGAACCGGGTGAGCGAGCGTGTTCTGCTGGCTCAGTTCTACAGGTGTCTTGATAAGACCACGAAGAAGCTGGTGCAACAGGAACCGAAACCGAAGACGCTGGAGAGGGCGGTAGCTAAGGCCACGAAGATCGACGACCCAATGGACAACGTTGCGCAAGGCATGATGAACATCGGGCAGGCGTGGGCAACCGCTCCGAGTCCCTATCTCATACCAATGACTGGGACGACCGGCCAAACGATGGTGATTCCGGGAATAGGCGGTCTGCCTTCACATATGACGTCCATGGGGCACGGCATAGGGTCGGCAGAGGGCGAGGCCGGGAGCGTGGCCCTCTTCACAAATCCTCAGGGCGTGTGGAACGACTACTCTGGCACGTGGGACGTGCCACCGGGCCATACGTGGAATGGGAAGTACTGGGTCGAGACGAGAAGCGGGAAGAAGCAGTTGCAGCAGTCCGGCAAAGGGGCAGCGGACCGAAAGGGACGGCACCAACGAGAACAGGACTCAAGCGGTGACGACTCGGACGTACAACCCGTGACAAAGAAGACGAAGGCGGCAGTGAGGCAGTTGAAGGGGAGTGACGGCGGCGGGGGCACCCCAGGGTGGTGGTGCTGTCGTTTGTTTCGGCTGTGGGCAACCCGGACATATCAGGCCACACTGCCCGAACCCACCCCGGTGCTTCGCGTGTGACCAACCTGGACATTTCGCACGTGAATGCCCTGATCAGGAAGCAAAGGCGCGGAACGATGAGCACATGAAGAATCGCAAAGAGAAGGGGAAGGAGCCGGCGGAAAAGTAGGGCGGACGCAGTGGGGGGACCACAGTGTTCGACACCAACGACGGATCCCCAGCAACCGGTGCAGGCCAAGAATGGAGGCGACGGCACGGGTGGTGATAAGGCAACGGATGAACGAGGAGAGGTAGAGACGGAGGAAAGCAGTGGGAATGATGAGGCTAAAGGCAAAGAGGAAGAAGAAGGACGGTGAGGTGCGCTTTTGCATCGATTATCGAGCGCTTAATAAGGTGACGAAGAAGGACGTTTATCCTTTGCCACGATTAGACGAGACCTTGAAGGCCTTAGGCGGCGCGGTGCTGTTTACGACGCTGGATCTGAGGCGGGGTATTGGCAGAATCGGGTCGGCGAGGCCGACCGGCCCAAGACCGCCTTCACCACTAAGCAGGGGATGTACTAGTCGTGCGGATGCCATTTGGTTTAACGAATGCGCCCTCTACGTTTCAGCGCATGATGAACAGCGTGCTACGGGGGCTTACGTGGTTAACTTGCCTTGTCTACTTGAATGATATTGTCGTCTTCACGCGAGGAGGCATTGAACGACATGTGGTGGAGGTCGCGTGCGTGTTAGAACGTCTGGCGGCGGCTGGATTAACGCTAAAATTGAAGAAGTGTATGTTCGCGACAGGAAAGATGGAGTACTTGGGACACGAGCTCAGTTCCGATGGGGTGCGACCACTGGAGCGTCTGGTGACGGTGGTACAAGACTTTCCGAGGCCGGTGGACGCCATTGAAGTCAAGCGGTTCGTACATCTCGCCGGCTATTATCGTCGGTTTATCGAGGGCTTCGGGTCGCTCATGGCGCCCATGACGAAGTTGTTACGCAAGGATGCAGCGTGGGAATGGACAGTGGCACAAGAGGCTGCGTTTTGAGCACGTGAAAGTGGTCTTGACGACCAAGCCGCTACTAGTCTATCCCAACTTTAAGCTGCCATTTCGTGTGGTAACGGACGCAAGTACTGTCGGATTGGGCGCTTGCTTGATGCAAGACCATGGACACGGGTGGCAACCGGTGGCCTACGCCAGTAAGGTCAACAGTCCCACGGAGTCAAACTACGGCATTACGGAGCTTGAGTGTTTGGCGGTAGTTTGGTCAATTAAACTATTCAGGCCGTATCTGTATGGGCGGACGTTCACAATCGTGACCGACCACGCGGCCTTAAGTGGCTGATGACCAGCCCTAATTTGACTGCAGTTGCACCGCTGGGCCTTGACCCTGCAGGAGTTTGAGTTCACCGTGGAGTACCGACCAGGGAGCACGAATGTAGTGGTCGACGCCTTGTCTAGAGCACCGGCGAAAGTGGCGGCAGCAGTCGGGCGGCGGCGACGAACTCGGCAACGGGTGGCTATAGAGGGTGACGCACATATGGCGAGTGGTGTACGGGCGGGGGCAGGTAGGGGTCACGAAGACGAAGTGGAGTGGGCACCGACAAGTCGGGCAATTGTGGTGGCGAATGCGGCCGGGTAGCCGCCGACCGAACCTGAGGCGGCGGAGACAATAGTACTGGAGGTCAAGGATAGTGTGGAGGAAAGTACGCGTGTCCCTACCAAAGGAGATCCACTGGTTCGGGCGTTGTCCACCTGGAGAAGGCGCATGGTGTCGATAAGTCGATGCGGCTGGAGAAGGCGCGTGGAGACAATCGACCTTGCCAGCTCGAGAAGGTGCGGGGCTGTCGTATTGAAGCGGCGGAAATAGAGCCTATGTGGCCTCTCACAAGGGCGACCAAACGACGTCTGGAGGCGGCACATCCGCCGGTGGCGGCGCCGGAAGCGGTTCCTAGCATAATGATTGAGCGAAACGATGGGCAGCAGTCCCAGGCAGCAAACTCGCGCCGACAGTCGGTCGAGACGGGCAGTGGACGCAGTGTTGAGTACGGTCAACTGCCACTAGGGCAAGACGCGCTTGGACGCACGATGCCCCGAGGTGGCGAGCGGCGTCGAGATGAGCAGAAGAAGAAGTCGGAAACTACGGTACAGAGGCCACAGGCGACGGCAGTAGCAGCCGAAAGTGAGTGGAGCGATGGTAGCCAGACGGCAGAACCGACGGCAGTAACGGCTCGGCGAAGACGAACTGGAGGCACGTCGCGTCAGAGGGCGGCGGCCGATAGCACAACGCACCGGTGGCCGGACAGCCTGCGCCGGACGGGGGGTCGGCGGTGGGCGGAGAGGAGCGGAGCCCCGATACGGGGCGGAGAAGGCCTGCAGGACAACCAGCGACCGGAGAACGTGATGCGGACCCGGTAGACAATGACGTGCTCGATCAGCACGAGCAGCAGCGACAACCGCTGACACTACAGCTGACATATGACGCGGTGATTACGGCGCAGATGCGGAGTGGACTGGTGCAACGCATGGTTAAGGCACGCTCGTACAGAAAGATGGCGATAGAGGTGCGGCGTAACTTGGTGACGGCTGAGACGTCACAAGGGCGACGAGAAATGCTTCCACTGAGCTGTGGCCGGTGGCGTTCAAAGTGCATCACGATTCAGTGTGGGCCGGCCATTTGCGGGCGCCGCACACGTACGAGAGGATCTCCGCGCACTATTGGTGGCCGGATTTACAGCGGGAGGTGAAGCGTTGGGTGCGTGGCTGCCAGGAGTGCGGCAGTCGAAAAGCTAAAACGCGTGATGTGGTGTTACCTATGCGGAGATTAGAGGCGGAGCAGTCGAAGATAGGTGGGCGTTCGATGTGGCTGGTCCCCTGCCGGTGGCCGACGGTGGGCAAAGATACGTTATCGCGGGTGTCGAGTACGTGACCCGTTATGCGGTGGCGAAAGCGGTGGAGCGGCACACGGCGGAGAATGTGGCCAGGTTCCTAATG